TTAAAAAAAAATATTTTTTAAAAATATTTCCGTGGGTCTATCAATAATCGTGGATTTTTTAAAAATATTTCACTGGGTCGTGGATTTTTTAAAAATATCTCCGTGGGTCTATCATTAATCGTGGATTTTTTTTAAAAATATTTCGATGGGTCTATCAAAAATCGTGGATTTTTTAAAAATATTTCAGTGGGTCTATCAAAAATCGTGAATTTTTTTAAAAATATTTTTTGCTGTCGTGGATTTTTTAAAAATATTTTTGAGGCTTTTCAGTGATTGTGGATTTAAAAAAAGTGTTTTTTGGGTCTGTCTATAATCGGAGATTTTTTAAAAATATTTTTTGGGTCTATGAAAAATCGTGAATTTCATAAAAATATTTTCGTGGGTCTATCAATAATCGTGGATTTTTTAAAAATATTTTTTTTGGGGTCTATCAATAATTGTGGATTTTTTAAAAATATTTTTTGGGTCTATCAAAAAATCGTGGATTTTTTAAAAATATTTTTTGGGTCTATCAAAAAATCGTGGATTTTTTAAAAATATTTTTTGGGTCTATCAAAAAATCGTGGATTTTTTAAAAATATTTTTTGGGTCTATCAAAAAATCGTGGATTTTTTAAAAATATTTTTTGGGTCTATCAAAAAATCGTGGATTTTTTAAAAATATTTTTTGTGCATTTTTTTAAAATATTTTTTGCGGTCTATAAAAAATTGTGGATTTTTTAAAAATATTTTTTGTGCATTTTTTTAAAATATTTTGTGCGGTCTATAAAAAATCGTGGATTTTTTAAAAAAATATTTTTTGTGCATTTTTTTAAAATATTTTGTGCGGTCTATAAAAAATCGTGGATTTTTTAAAAAAATATTTTTTGCGGTCTATCAATAATCGTGGATTTTTTGGACATCGGTTTCCTATAATGCAATTGGCATCTCTGCTCCACCACACTCTCACTCCTTCTCTCTCTCCCTCTTCCATACCACTCTCCATCACATTTCCGACAATGGCATGTATTATTTAGACTAACAACAACCATGAGAAATTCGTTGTTTGTTGTGGACCAAAGGTCCTGCAATTGCCTACAAAATTCATGTTTGGAGGAGGGGGGTGTCGTTGTGTTTGAGTGCAGAAGTGTTTGAGCGTTCATAGTCATCATCATCATCCAGCCCATAACTCTCTTTGTCTCTCCCTTGCCACGTTTTAGTGCAGCTCATTACAGTTGGCGGCAAATCACCCGGTCTAATAACGCTAATGCTTGTGGGCCATTGGGTTGGTTGTCTCTTAGCCGGGCGATTTTTTCGTCGTCATCGTCGTTTGGAATTTACCAAAAACTTGTTGTTTGTTGTGTGTGTGTGTGTGTGTGTGTGTGTGTGTGTGTAGCTTGAAAGCATACCAACGCTTACATACGCATTAACAGATATGACATTCGTTTGACACTCACACACACACACACACATTTTCGTCCATCCACAAACATCCAGCCAACCAACCAACTTCACCTGCATATTTACGAATGCACAAAGACGCAGCATAGTTTGGCGAAGATTTTGGTGCTTTGTTGCGCCATTGTGAGGCAACAATGGGTATTGGTGGGTCAAGAGAGGAATTTTGAGAAAATTAAATTATTTGCGTGGATACAAGTGTAAATGGAAGGAAAATTGGGAAAGTTTTAGAAATAAAAACTAAAATATGTTTTTTTTTTCAAATGGCGCCCAATTGAAATTACTTTAGTGGAGGAGGAAGTCTTCTAGCCTAAGTAAATTTCTGAAGCTATTTTTTGATCCGAAACACTGTGCAACAACTCCCCATATATATTTTTACGACCCACACTCTCACCCACATCATCGCATGCAGCTGACATCCCGATAATCATCTAAACGACTAGCGTGAGGAGGCGGAAGAACAAGAAATGCCATGGCCTGCCATTATTAAACAAATCATGTGACAGGTAATCACAAATGAATTTCACTGCGACAAAGCGACATTCAAGTCTAATGCTGGGGAAAAGTCGCCGAAATTTATTGAAGCTGATTAAAATTAGCAGTTGAGGATATTAATATTTAAGGATATCTTATGGAATTTTAAAGGACTAAAAGGTAAAAAAAGATCAGCTTTCAAGGAAAGTATGTATCTTAACCACAAACGCCAACAGCGACATCACTATCAAATTTCAGGATATGAGATCTATTTCTTCAACCAATACCAAATTTAGTACTTTTCGTACAATTAAAGTACACCATCTCCATATCTCAATTGCAGATACCCACAGAGACCTAAATATCAAATTTGAGGATATCAGACCTATTAATGTCCTTGTCCTTTAAGGACATGTTACGAAATTTTAAAGGACTAAAACGTAAAAAAATACCGACAGCGAAAATGTCTATCTTAACAACAAAGACCAAAAGCGACATCACTATCAAATTTCAGGATTTTAGACCAATTTAGTAATTTTCGTACAATTATAGTTCACCACCTTCATATCTCAATTTCAGATACCTACAGAGACCTAAATATCTAATTTGAGGATTTCAATACCATATTTAGTACTATTTGGTACATTTTGTACAAATATCGGACGCATTTCCAAATCTCTCAGATCTCAACCTCGGATATCAACAGTGACATCCATATCAAACTTTAGGATTTAATCTCTGTTCCTTCACCCAATACCAAATTTAGTACCATTTAGTACTTTTCGGACAATTATAGTACAAATTTCCAAAACCACCATATCTTAATTCCAGATACCAACAGAGATGTCAGTATCAAATTTGAGGATTCTAGCTCTATTCCTTCACCCCATACCAAATTTAGTACCATTTAGTACTTTTCGGACAATTATAGTACTCATCGGTAAAACCATCAACAGATCTCAACACCAAAAACCAACGGATACCTCAATATCAAGTTTCGTGATTTCAGTTCTATGCCTTCACCCAATACAAAATTTAGTACCAATTGGTACTTTTTGTACAAATATCGGACGCATTTCCAAATCTCTCAGATCTCAACCTCGGATACCAACAGTGACATCCATATCAAATTTTAGGATTTCATCACTGTTCCTTCACCCAATACCAAATTTAGTACCATTTAGTACATTTCGGACAATTATAGTACAAATTTCCAAAACCACCATATCTTAATTCCAGATATCAACAGAGACGTCAGTATCAAATTTGAGGATTCCAGCTCTATTTCTTCCCCCAATATCAAATTTAGTACCATTTAGTACTTTTCGTACAAATATCGGACGCATTTTCAAACCACCTCCAAATCTCAACCTCAGATACCAACAGTGACATCTTTATACATTTTCAGGATTGAAGCTCAATCCATTCACCCAATACAAAATTTAGTACAATTATAGTACACATTTTTAAATCATCTCCATATCTCAATTCCAGATACCAACAGAGACCTCAATAACAATTTGAATATTTTGAAAAAATTGAGGTTTAAATGGTGATTCCGATTCAATCTGAAATCGTTTTATATTAAGAGTCAAAAGAGCAAACATATAATTTTCACTTGCAGTGTTTACATTTCGTATGTATTTTTCTCGAAAATGATTGCTCCCAGATATATGGTCTATTGGGAGATTCATAGGGAAATGTTGTGTAGAATAATTCTTCCCTTTACACTTTCCGGCTAAAATGAAATTTTATGCGTCTTTCACGCCTTAACTCAAAAAAAAATTACGATAAAAATTTGATCAGAAAAAAAAGGAAATATTTAGGGAATTATATTATATGTTTTCATGGTTCATATTGAATATACAAACTTCTTTCGATTACAAACTCACAATGAAATTCGATCTAGATTTAATCTTTCTTTGGTACTTTCCCCAAAAAATGAAGTATAAATGGTGATTTCGACTCAATCTGAAATCGTTTTATATTAAGAGTCAAAAAAGCAAACATATAATTTTCACTTGCAGTGTATACATTTCGGATGTATTTTTCTTGAAAATGATTGCTCCCAGATATATGGTCTATTTGGAGATTCATAGTGAAATGTTGTGCAGAATAATTCTTCCCTTGACACTTTCCGGCTAAAATGAAATTTTATGTTATTTTCAGGCATAAGTTCGAAAAAGGTCGGAGAAAAAATGTATCAAAAAATTAAAAAATATTTTCGTTTCCTTTTTGGGGAAAATTAATGAAATTATTTTTTTATATCCAGTGGAATTAGAGATTTCTTTTCTTTGGTGACTTATAGTGAAATTTAATGAAGAATATTTTTGTCTTTAACGACATCCTTCGAAAATGATGCTTTGTTGGAGATTTTTGCATAAACTCACACAAAGTACGGTTTTAACTTAAAAATGTATTTTTTAATAAATATGAATTCCTGGAGTTTAGGTAAGATTTCAACTTTTGATGACTTCTAGGACCTATAGTAGAATTTTATGACAAATAATTTTGTAGAATATTTTGACTTGCTATGATCCCGTTTTAAGGTAGTTTTTAATCATATTTGCAAAAAAGGTTCGAAAAGACCCATTTGTTGACAGGTTGAATTGTTGATTAAATTATCTTTGTGCTTTTATCTGCAATATTGCCAAATACACTACATACCTAAAGTCAAAGGATTCCAAGCGATCTTATGTCGAAAATTTCCAAAAATGTGGATGAGAGAGGAATTTACTTCTCTGCTCTATTTAGGTTACTTTGCGATGTAAACTTAAAAAACGCCTTTACACTTGTCTTCGTTTTCAGCTCTACTTTCATAATCTGCTGGATTTTTTTCTAAAATTATTATTTTTCCAATTTTAATTTATTTTTTCAATTTTTTATTTAATTATTTATTTATTTATTTTTTGCACATTGTTAATTCACAATTATTTTTCCTTTAAAACATTTCATTTATTTTTTAAAAACAGCCGAAAATCTACCCCATTGTGCGTATGATCAATAAAATGTTTTACAAATGTAACTCATACGTCCCATGGCCCTAAGAGAAATTAACTAAATTTCTTCTCTCTCCCTCTCTCTTTTCAGGCAAAAATGTTGGAAAACTCCCATGCCTGGATGGGTGGATCCAGCTCATCGATAGCAGGTTTGTATTGCCGTCTCATCCCCTCACAACTCTCTGCTCTGCTATTTAAGTCTCTCTCTCCCTAACACTCTCATTCCCACCCACCAGCAGATAGCTATCAATACCAACTGCAGTCGATGTGGCAGAAATGTTGGAGCACCAATCAAAATTTAATGCATCACTTGCGTTTTCGTGAACGAGGTCCCCTAAAGTCCTGGCGTCCCGAGACAATGGCCGAGGCGATTTTCAGTGTTTTGAAAGAGGGTCTCTCGCTTTCACAGGCTGCCCGAAAATATGATATACCCTACCCCACATTTGTGCTCTACGCCAATCGGGTACACAACATGTTAGGGCCTTCCATTGATGGCGGCCCCGATCTACGACCCAAGGGACGTGGCAGACCACAACGTATCCTCTTGGGCATATGGCCGGATGAACATATCAAGGGTGTCATTAAGACGGTGGTCTTTCGTGAGGGTAAAGATATCAAGGATGAAGGTTTGGTACCGCATCTGCCGTATGGCCGCCATTCGGTAAGTTGCCACGCTGAGCATTTTATTCCAGGGGTCCGTACCAGAAAATAGAAAGCTCTAATGAAGACGTTGTCTTCTTTTTTTCTTTGGTATTTTTCTAGCCTATTTTCCCATTTCAGCAAGAACCGAGTGTCAGCTATCCGGGGGTGAGTGCCCAATGTCCCAATGGAATACCGACACCAACACCCACGGGCGATCAAATGGCCCAGGAGGCCACAGCAGCAGCGGTGGCTGCAGTGGCCCACAACTTGCGCCAGCAAATGCAAATGGCAGCTGCCCAACAACAACAACAGCAGCAGCAACAACATGGTCCTGAAGGTCCTGGCGGCCAGGCGGGTCTCTTTAATCTCCCTCCACATTTAGCTGGCAGTGGGGCTCTGCCGGTACCCTCAGGTCCAGGGGGCATGATTTTACCCAAAACCAGTATTTCACCAGCCCTCAGTTCGGCCTCTAGTTCAGGGGCTGTCGGCTCAATGATGGGTCCCCGCCATGCCCCCTCACCTTGTGGACCAGGAATGCCGGTCATGACTCAGCTGCCACATAGTGTGGCTGCAGCTTTGCACATGGCCGGCTCCCCAGCCTCGAGGTGTGATCCCAACGCTTTGCTAAGTCAACAACAGCAACATCAGTTGCATCAGCTACATTTGCAACAACAACATGCAATGCATCAGCAACAGCAACACAAACATCAACATTCACATGGACACCAACATCCGCATCAACACCAGCATTCGCAATTGGGCGCCTATGGCCAGCATCATTTATCCCTAAGTCATCCGGGGAGTATGACAGGGGGTATGGGCGGTGGTGGTGGCACACCCACTCACACCCATCACACCACGGCCACAACGACAGCCTCTTCCACAAAATCATCATCGTCCACAGTATCGCCGTTAAGGCGCACCAGCCCACCCAGTGTCTCACCACTGACCGAACTTGGCCTTGAAATGGCCTTTAAACCTTCTCGAGCTTTTTCACCCTCTCGTCTATTTTCCGATGATATAGCCGATATTGTGGGTGCGGCAGCAGCAGCGGCGGCCGTTGCAGCCGCTTCATCGACGTCATCCTCCACCTGTACTACCACGGCCACCGTCACAACAGCCACCATAACCGGGTCCAGTTCGTATAGTTTACCAGCCACATCATCTTCTTCCATGATGGCCATGGATGCAGCAGGTCAACAACATCAATCCTCGTCCATCGCCTCAAGTGCGGGCATATCGCCATCACACTCCTCCACCTCCATGGCCACAACGACGGCAGCGGCAACTGTTGTAACTTCCGCCAGTAGCAGTAACATAAGTTCCACGGGCATTAAACTCGAACCCATAACTACAAGTAGCGAATAAGAATATATCCGATATAATTTATATACCAACACTCAACACATGCATATAAACATAGAATACATACATATATACATAGTGGCTAACACACACACACAAGCATCCAAAAATCAAAAATGTTAAGAGTATTATGTTTTTTCCTCTCTTCTGAGATGAGATGAGAGAAATTGCTAAGGAGAAAGTTCTCAGTATTATTTTTTTATTGGAAAGAAAAATTATCGATTAACCGATAAATAAAACAACGGGAGAAAGAGAGGGAGTAAGTGAGAAATGTTATGTTTTGATTTTGAGAAGAGAAAAACAGAGGGATTTAAATGCGGGAATTTCAGCAAAACTTTAGAGTACAGCTACAAAATTTAAAAGGCATTTTAAAGAAGAGAGCCGCAGAGTCTTTTATTTCTAGAAAAGCATATTGTTTTTAAATGACCATCATTAAGAGATTGCAGAAAATTACACTCAGTGAAGGTATGCGTGCCTACTCTTGACTGTCCCTGACTTAAAGCCTTATGAAGTACCATGAAGTTTTGGATTAAAATATTGTAAACTAAGAATTGAAATTTGAAATGTTCAGAGACTTCCCTTTTTTGATTTGAAATGTTTTTTGGCACAAGTCAAGCTGGTCTTTTACATCTCCCTTCCCACTTAACCAACAGTGGGACACTTTGAAATTTTTCTTACACGACAAAAGTGATCCTCCTTCCAAATTTGAGATTTGGAACTCGGTATTGCCGACAGCTTCATACCCTCAGTCAATGTTCGGTTATTTAATATATTTTTACTTGTGTTGCGATTGTTAAAATTGCTGACCCTTGCCGACAGCTGCATACCCTCAGCTAATTTTCGGTTATTTAACTATATTTTGACTTGTGATTTTTCAAATTGCTGACCCTTTCCGAAGGAGTTGGTAAATATTTTCCATTTCGTATCTGACATAAGTCTGATAAAAATATTAAAACGTATCACATTTGGATTTTATATCGACTACTTGCTTCACTTTATATGAGATATTCAATAATATTTCGAAATGTTTGCATTTTATGATAGTTATAATTATTTAAAATGTTGACCCGTTGTGGGGGAGGTACCCGAAGGAGTAGTCCGATATTGTCGATCTTCACAACACATCTTGTGTTGCTAGAAATATTGGAATGTGCCGAGTTTAAAAGTAAATGGATGCTCATTTCGCGTTTTATGTGCTTAATGGTTACTACAAATTTTGACCCTTTGTGGGGGTGGTACTAGAAGGACTGGTCCGGTCAATCCCTTCTTCATACCAAACCCTGTGTTAGTGGAAATATTGAAATATACAAAATTCGAAGATAATCGTGCTCTTAGTTCAAATTTTGTAAACGTTATAATTATTCAAAATTTTGACCCTCTGTGGGGGAGGTACCCGAATGAGTGGACCGATATATCTCATCTTCACACCAGATCTGTTGTTAACAAAAATATTGGGATGTGTGAAATATGAAGAGAACCGGATGCTTATTTCGGATTTTAAAGTCATTTTGGTTATTGAAAGCTTTGACCCTTTGTAGGGGAGGTACCAGAAGGAATGGTCCGATCTCTACCATATTTATAACAGATCTTGTGTTGATGGAAATATTGAGATGTACCAAGACTGAATCTAATCGGATGTTAATTTCGCGTTTTATGAACTTCATGAATGTTCGAAATTTTGACGCTTTGTGGGGAGGCACTGGAAGGATTTGACCGATATATTCCATCTTCTCACCAGACCTTGGGTTAATAAAAATATTGTGGTTTGTGTCATTTGAAGACAATCGGACTCTTATTTCATACGACATAACATAACTTCATAAAAAATTCGTCGTGCTTTTTGTACAATTTTAATGTCGAAATGTTCAATATTTCCTCCAAAGTGCATATAAATTACAACATACGTCAGAAAGATCAAAAAAGGTTCATTGCCTCAGTGTAAACATAACCTTAGCTCTTTGTGCAAACACATTTCCCTGTGACACAAAAATAAAAACCGTTCAGACACTCTCTCTTCCTCCCTTTCTCACCGAAAACAAATTGGCAAAACTAAATTTCTCATTATTTCTCTACAACAATTCTGTTTTATACAAATAAAAAATAATAGTAAAAACATACACACATAAATTTAGTGTAGTTTCATTTTTTTTTGATGAGTATGAAATAAAGTATTTTTAATATTTCTAATTAAAAAGAAAAGGAAAAAACATAAAAATATTGAAAACTAAATAAATAAATATAAAAATATAGCAGCAACAACAAACTCTAAGATCTCTTTGTAATATTAAGTTTACATATAAATTAGAGATTAGTTTTATTTAGTTTAAACAAAAAATTAAACTATTTTTAATTTCTTGTAATTAAAAATTTCTCAAAAAAAAAAAAAAAAAACAAACAAAACTTATGAAATGTGTGCACACAAAATTGATTATTATTAATTTTTATTTTAATTAAAATGTATTTTTTGTTCTAAATCTAAAAAAAAATGTACAAAACAAAAACAAATTGTTTGTAAAACAAAGCAACAACCAAAATGGGAAATTAAAGAAAAACAAAACTCAAGATTTTTAGGAAAACAAAATTTTACATTTAGGTCGTCGTAAACAACACAACAAAACAACAACAAAAATTGCCTTTCGGAATAAAATTCAAAAATTTATAAATTAGAAAAAAACAAACAATTTATACACTAACATACAAACAAAGAAAAAAGAACTTACTTATATTTGTTTTGTATTTGAATTTACAAAGGAAATCAAAGAATTTTAGTAAAAATATTAAAAATTTTATTTCAGAAATTAGATATTATATTTTGTAAAATTAAATTTTATTTTAAATTTAAAATTAAGTTTTTTGACAAAACAAAATGTTTGGCCTGTTTAAATATATTATTATTATTAAGATTCATATAACGCTTAATATTATTAAGAATTTATTTACATTATTTCCTTTTGGGTCATTATAAAGCACACAGTTTCTCATAAAAAATAAATAAATCTGGAAACATACATAAAAATATTGTTTACAGTAGTTGGTGAAATTGTCAATGTAAACGCTACTTATTTTCATGGAAATGTTTTGGTTTTTATATTCCAACAGTATTGGCTTTGTGGCCGAGTTTACATTTCTGATCTTTATCATGATTTATTTGATGTTAAAATCACGTTTAGATTTATAAACCTATTCGATTTCAAATGTCAATTTCATAAATAACGTCAAACGTCAAATAATAACCACTAGATTTGTGAATGAGATTTTCATGACGTATACGCTATGGAATTGACATTTGAAATCGTTTAGTCTGAACGTGTCAATGACATTTCTCAAGTAAATCACGTTAAAGCACTCCAATGTAAACGAAGCCTAATCTTTATTTCTGATTTGATTGCTTTACCATTCAAAAATTTCCTCTATAGCTAATTATTGAAAATAATTAAGAGAATAAAATTATAATTTATAAAAATAAACTACAATAACAACAAGCAACACCCACAAGAACAACAACAACAATAGTAATTCCATATAACACATTAAATATTTATATATAATCCCAAAACCAAATAAATTTGTATGCTAAAAAATATATTATTATTGCAGTGCCACCTATTGACAATTTAAATTCTAATTGAAAAAATATATGGGCTCTTCCAGAATCAGCAACAATCTAAAGGTGAGAGTACATAAACAGTTTGAAGTCTTCACATGGAAGTCTTCGCATTTTGTGACATATCATAAAGTGATGTCGGAGCCGCACTCAAATATTGCCGTCGTTTCCCTTTATAATTTGACATTAATATGCCAAGCCATGATGCCAAGCTGCTCATGTACCCTCACCTTAATAGTTTTGCAATTTTTTTTTCGATATCATGAAGGAAAAATTGGTTATCATAGTAAAACTTTTACATTCTTGGAGTTCTGGAACATACCAATCATGGTAGAATTAAGAAGGTAAAATCATGCAATCATATGTTTACAATTTTTTCAAAAATATTCGTTTGACAGCATCACATTGTCAAAATTTGTATTTATAAATCCATTTTGTACACAGAAATCAGAGATGGGAACCTGTTTTTATTCGGAGAAAATTTGACAAGGTAAATTAAAGAAAATACAAAGAAGGATAGTCTCAAGGTGCAAGTACATAAAAAGCTTGAAGTCATGGCTAGGCATATTAATGTCAAATTATAATGGAAAACGACGGCAGGATTTTAGTGCGTCTCTGTAATCCCTTTATGAAATGTCACAAAACATGCCTAGCCATAACTTCAAACTTCTTATGTACTTACACCATTATTTAAAATGGCTTTACCTTCTTAATTTTACCATGAGACGAATAATGCCCAGATATTTTCATTTTCTAAAACTGATGCAATTTTCTGTCAAATATTTCATTAAAATAAATATCGTGGGCATCTAAAGGTATGTTTAGATAGACCACTTCCATTGCGAATACGTCAAATGAAATTCACTGGATTTGAGACCCGATTTCATTTAACGTTTAAGCAATGCAATTGACAGTTCAAATTGACAGCTCAACTCAATTTAGAATCAACAGCATGGTAGAAAAATACAGGTAGATGCATCAGTGCTTGGGAGCATTGATATGTCAAAAAATTTTAAATGTTTTTTTCAAATATGAGCAGATTTTTAAATATTTTCTTATACAACGTCATTCGAAGGTTATTATAATTCGAGCTTTTTAACAATTTTTACAAATTTAAATAATTTTTCATTCAACATTTTCAATTCCAAAATTGGTTTGACATTTCATTGTCCCAGCAGCTGTGTCGATGCGTCTACCTATATTCTTCTACCATGCCATCACAGCTGATGGCATCTAACAAACACATAATATTATGTATCAAAAAAATAAATTAAAAACTCCCTAAGTTACAAAAAAATAACATAAACAATGCATGTAACCTAAATAAAACTGGCTATAATTTTAAATAATCCCTAAAAACATATCCAAAAAAAATAGAACTCTAAAAACAATAACTATCTTCCTTCATTTTTCCATAATCAATAAATAATATACATATAATTTCACAGGAGACTATATTTGTAATAATAAAAGAAAACAAAAAAAAAAAACTTAACAAAAAAACATAAAGTATTTGTTAACTACAATAATAACTTTAGTGCAAATTCTCTAAAAAAAACAACATCCCTAACTTAATAACAAAAATAAAACTCTACATCAATTGTATTAATTAATTTATTCATTTAGTTTTTTTTTTTTTCAATGATTTCTTTGTGTAATGCATATGTAAAAGTATATAATTAATTAATGTCATTGAAACCACTGAACGAGACAGACATCAGCAGAAATTATAAATAATAAACAACTTTTTTTGGAGAAAATAAAAAAAACAAATAAATTACTTTAAATTGCAGCAGTTTTATTCGGTGATTATGTGGGAGGAAAGGGAAGCAATATAACTTTTAATTAAATAATTGTAGTTTTATGGGACGCCATCTTGGGTTGAATAGCAAACGACATCAGGTTTGGGTGGTGTAAACACGACCATTGGCATTCAGGGAAATGATAGACGGGTTTTCTGCCAAGCGCCATGAAATGATAACACGTTGCTCTGTTAATTACGATAAAGTGATAACTCTTTACACTGCTAATCACTATGAAATGATAACATAACGCCTTGGAATCTGCAAAGTTATAAGAACTGATTTTTCAAAAGCTATAAAAACGTTTCTTAGAAGAAATAGGCTTGTCATTTTAAGTTGAATTATTCTCTATTCCAGAACCTGCAGGAATCTACTAGTTTCGCAATATTTTTTGATATCATAAAGGGAAAATCGATTATCGTAGTAAACATTCTTGCAGTTCTGGACCGGACCTTTAAGACGATTCATTGTTAAATTATGGACCAATCTGAAGATATTTGACAGTGAAGCATATTTACATTTAAAAGTTGTTAGCGTCGTTTCAACTTCGTCTTCAATCATACGCCAGCAATTGGAACGATTTTAATTTTAGAAAAATATTTTTTCTTGGGGAACGGACCCGGGACCCCAGATTTTTAACCCCAAAGTCCGGGTTGAAGACCCCGACTATACTCGGATCAAATTACCCGACATCCGGGTCTGGAACTCGAAATTTTTGGTCAAAAATCTGGGTTCCCGGATCCGTCCCCTAAGAAAAAATAGTTTAAATTTGTTGTTGTTTTAAATTCTTGTACAACAGTTGCCTTTTATTCGTAAACCACGGTGTACAACCGTTTCGTCCGATAATCCCAATAAAAAATACCCATCGATATCCCCTTTTAAAATCGATACTATAGATATTGGCAACGATTGCCATCTCCAGTTCAATACGTTTCTGCACCAGAGAGTTACAGCTCGTCCCGCGTAAACAACAAAGGTAGCAAAGGTAATCGGCATTACCCATTACACTCATTCGTAAACAACAGATGTACTCGGTGATTTTGCTTTCTGTTTAGTTTTCATCAGGCATTTCATTTTAACTTCTTATTTGTTTCGTTTGGAACGTCTTTCTTTGTTGGTTGACATAGTGATTTGACACATACACATTTGTCATCAAGCAAGCAGCGTCGTGCTTGTGTCGGTGTATTTTGCAATTAAAACTTTTCTTGTAGATTTTTCAGCCCATAATAGTGTTAAATTCCCCCTAAAAATATGTACGAAAATCGTTCACAATCCCGCGATGGAGGGCGTGGTGCCCGTGATCAGGGCGATGACCCGCCTATGTCACGTCTTTTCATCATTTGCAACAAAGCCCATACGGAGGAAGATTTTCGTGAAGCATTTAGCCAATTTGGTGACATCGAAGATATATGGGTTGTAAAAGACAAACATACCGGCGAAAGCAAAGGCATAACCTATATCAAATATGCTAAAACTTCACAAGCGGCCAGGGCCCAGGAGGAGATGAATGGCAAGACAATTGGTTCACTGGATAGAACATTGAAAGTTTTGGTGGCTGCAAGGTAAGTTGTGTTTCCGTATCTGTGTTATGTGATTGTTAAGGGTAACAAATAAACCATTCCCTCCCTTTGTTTTAGTCGCAACCAAGGTTCAACCAAATCCGACAATGAACATGAAAAATATGTACGTCTCTTCATTGTGTGTCCCAAAACGGCCACCGAAGATGAGTTACGCGATGAATTCAGTCAATGGGGCCAAGTGGAAAATGTCACATTATTGCGTGACAAACAATCGGGCAATCCCAAAGGTTTTGGTTACATACGTTACAGTAAATTTTTGGATGCGGCGATTGCTTTGGAAAATTGCCCAGCCAAATACAAACCCGTATTTGCTGAACCAAAAGATTCTGGGCGTTCTTTGTCGTCTAGAGATGATAATACAATGATGGGAGGCCGTGGTGGTGGTGGCGGCGGAGGAGGTCGTGGCTCAGGGAACATGATGAAAGATAATATGGGTTTTGGCGGTCCTAGCAATAATTTTGGAGCTGGAATGGGTGGTGGTGGTTTCAATAATATGCCATCGGGTGGGGGTAGCTACAATAATTGGGGCAACAATGTTTCAAGCAATAAGGAAATGGCTCAATTTCTGCGCTTACAAAATGTCCCGGTACCAAATCCTACATGCCTGGAAGTCATTATTAGCAATTGTGTTAATCAAGATCAACTGTGGCATTTGTTCAATATTATTCCGGGGTTGAATAATTGCAAAATTTTAAGGGAGTGTGAGTATGACGTTATGTGCTACGAAGTGGCTTGAAAAGACTTTTCACATTTTTTTTAATTTCGTAGGTGGCCCTCGCACCAATGAAGCCATTGTGGTCTATGACAGCCCCGAAGCGGCTATATATGCCAGGTATTTGTTTTAGTTATAAATTTGTTTGCCTGTTTCTTTAATACCTTTTTAATTTGTAGAGATAAATTACATGGCCTGGAATACCCAGCTGGTGAACGTATTATAGCCAAGGTTTCTGGTATGAGCTCTGCTCGCATCGATACTTCGTTTATTGATAGTGAGTCTAATGAAATTCAATTGTATTTTAGTGATATCTATAGCAAACCTCGTTATTTTAATATTGTCTAGAACGTACAAAAATGGATGCCGTTTGTAATGTGCCATTACCGCCAGTAGAACCCATGGCTCCCGCAGATGCCCAGTGTGCCCAACGCTTGTTCATTGTTTTGACATCGGTACGAAAAATGTTCTTTTTTGGTTTCATTTTTAATGATTCATTTTCATTTTAATGATTTTATTTTCAGAATGTGCCAATGTCCATTTTGAAAAATGTCTTCTCATGCTGGAGAGGTCTCATGGACGTGTATCTATTGCCAAACAAAAATTGTGGCTACGTTAAGTATGCCAACAAGAATTCAGCAATAAATGCAATGCAAACTTTGCATGGTGCTGAGATATGTGGTACCCGTATCAAGGTAACTTGGAATTTGTTTTTTATTTTTAAACTGAAATAATTGGTGTTTTTGTGTGTTTCCAGGTATTGGAAGCTGAGGAGCGTGATCACAATAACGATGATGGTGATGGTAATCGCAAACGTATGCGTCGCAATTAGAAATGTGAGTAATTCCTGTAATGGTATCTCTTTTAATTTTGTAAATATTTTCCATATATCGGTGGTCACGGTAGCCCCCTATGTGCACGGAACATATTTTGATGTCTACGTGAAGTCACATATTTATGTTTATCTCGCCATGAATACCAAGATGGCACAAATTCATAGGAGACCGGTTTACAATGTTTGTTGAAAGAATCCAAGCTTTCTATGAATGGGGAAATGGAAATGGTCTACATTAGAAGACAGCCCTTTTGCAGATCTTCTGTAAATGGAACATCTTTTATAGGAATTTTACAGAGGAGGTATTCTAAAATAGAAATCCTTGTAGGGTTGTTGGGCACATCACAAAGACAAGCATATAGCCCTACAGCATGAGTATTTATTGCAGAGGATGTTCTTTTCTTTTCTAATGATCCCCATTGGCGGCCTTCGGTGGATCGAAACCCTTATAGAGTTCCAAATTTTAAATTCCCCTCAGAATTCTACTTGACAGACTTTTTCATATTTTGGGTTGCCAGGCACATCACAAAGACAAACATATAGCCCTACAACATGATCATTTACTGCAGAGGATGATTTTTTCAAATGAGGAGGAGGAGGATTTTTTTAGATGGAAACCCTAATACAGCTCCAAATTTCAATTCCCCTCAGAATTCTCCTTAACAGACTTTTCTTATATTTTGGGTGTCAGGCACATCCCAGATACAAGCCCTACAATATGAGCATTTATTGCAGAGGATGAAATATGATATGTTCCCAATACTACATATACAGGGTGAGATAAAAAAACTGCAACAAAGTCAAAATTTAAATTTTATTGAATGAAAGCAGAAAATGTCGGAAATAGCATCAAATTTTAGAATAAGTTAAGATTTGTTCGAATTGGTCACCTTATGGCCTTCAAACGGCCAATGAAACCGTCACACGCTGCCCGAATGTTGCTCTGCGGTATTTCGGCCCATTCCCGGCGAAGCGCTTGCTTGAGGTGATCGACACTTTGGTATTTTTTAGTGCCAACCTTGCTTTCCAAAATACTCCAGACACAATAGTCCAACGAATCTGGTATCCGGAATCTCATTTTGTAAAAATTCTGAGTGCTGAGTCCTATTGCAATGTCCAAGTTCTGCGGCCAAAATGTTTGTGTGCCCAATGCTTTAATACACCCTTCCGAATATTTTCGCGATAATATTCGGCATTTATTCTGATGCCACGGTCGGTAAATACGAGCGGAGAGATGGCGGCCCACACCATCACCATGGCCAGCGCTTGAGTTCTGGTGACCAACCAAAGGTGCACATTTTCCGCTAACCTCTTTGGCAAGTAAACACGATCATTTTGTTTGTTTACTGCTGCTGCTGAACAATGAATGTTTTCTCATCGGAGAAAACCAAATCCGGCAGTCCACCACTTTCGGCCAAGCGAAGCAACTCTTAAGCTCTTTTGAGTCTATTTTCTTTCTGTTGCGGTGTAAGTTCTTGTACTTTTTGGAATTTCAATGGCTTTATCATGAGCTCATTTTTCAATATTTGCCGAATGGAATATTGCGATGTGTTCAGCTCACGAGCCATTTTTCGGCCACAGCGACGCGAGTTTTGAACCATTTCTACTGATGTTGCTGTTTTCTTCCGTCCACTTCCTTGACGTCGTAACGAGCGATGGTACGGGACACAAAAGATTTATTCACATTTAAATGCTGAAGTGCTCTAACGATAGCCACTTGTGGTTTTCCAGCCAAATATAAAAAAATCACACTATCACGCTTGAATTCCAACACGAATAACTTTTTTTCTGGAAAATTCTCATCAAAATGCTTTTGCACGCTTGTAAACAATATAAGAAGCTGTCACTGGAATAATTTTAAAAGCTGTCGGACGAGTGGCTTCGAAATGACAGCAGTCTGAAGTTGATTGCAGTTTTTTCATCTCACCCTGTTATTGTTTAAGTTTATACATTTCATATTTTAATCTTGTATATAGATTTATTTCAAAAGTACCTCTATGTGACGAATTTACCCATAGGTTGAGTTCTTAATACTTAATAATTTTTCAAAAGCAAGGGACAGGGGAAGATTCCTATAAAGGTTTTTTATTGATATCTTTCCTTGTCAAACTCGATATCCTCTATTTTTGTATTCTTTTAAATTGAATAGTTGTTGTTTGTATTTAAATGTTTAAAATGGTAAGTAAATCGTTATTTTTCATCACCCACAAAGGATCATGTCACCCGTCCAGTATTGTCTATTAATTCAATTTCACTTTTTTACAGGACAGCAAAAATAATACAACAGCAACAACAAAACTTATTATCTTTCTTAAAAAAAAAACTTGTTCTCCCAACATCATACAAGAACTTTTTTATTTTCTATTTTTCACAGACAACAATCACAAAATGACGACAACTAACTGAACAAGTATAAGAGTATGGACATGAACAGAGACGACTCACATATATACTACTGAAACTTATAGGAATAGAAATACATAAAATTGAACTGACATCAACAGAACTGGAAGTAGAATATATATATATATATATATAGATGTATATTGAACGGAACGAAACGAAAGAAAACAGAAGGAAGGACTTTTGAACTGAATCGGATTGAATGGACCTATTTCTACATGAAAAAAGTACAGTATATAGTAATCAACACACACACTCAACACACATTCTCATATAAACTTAATTATACACGGACATTTGTCACAAAGAAAATGTAGCGACACCTGTTTTTTTAACCAACTCTCTTATTAAGTATGACTAGACTTCAATGAACAACAACAACAATGATTGAATGAAAAACATAAAAAAAAACATGAACAAAATTTCAAATAACGTATTAATCTCCAAAAAAATTATACCACAACAACAGTTTTTTCTCTTCAAACTCCTAAGTATTACACTACCCAACAAAACAATTATTTATCCACATGAAAAAAACAAAATAATCAATTTTATTTATTCATTTTCAATGGCAATAATTCCCTTGAAATCAACTTGTTTTATTCATTGCAATGTTATTGCCTTTCACGTAAGTATAACATAAGGTCTGTTCCAGAACTGCAAGCATATAAGAGTTTTTACAACGATAACCGATTTTCTCTTTATTATATCGAAGAACGTTGTCCTGTAAAGCATCAACCGTACATGTGACATGTTGGCGTAATGCTTATCTTTGATAGCTACCCACAAATAATAGTCTAACGGTGTCAAATCGCAGCTCCGAGGTGGCCAACCGACATCAGCTCTGCAGCTGATATTGCGATCTTCTGGATCGGGGCAAGAAACATTCAAACAAGTAAAAAAGCTGTAAGTTCGGCTGGAACGAACTATGAATACCTCCACCATTTGGCAATTTTCAAAAAATAAAATCCGTTAAAAATTCTGTTACACTTTTGAAAAAACCGAATGTAGCTGCTATTTTAGGGTCTATACGATGACGTGGACCTGCATAGGCAACTTTTGTCATAAGCCATTACAATATACAAATGCGAAACTTGAACAAAATCGGTGAATAATGTCGCTAGAATCTTCAAAATACCGAATATCTGGGTACCGTTATATGGGGGCTCTGCGGCTTATTATGCCATCGTCAAAAACCCTTGTGAAAAACACAGAGACTAGTTGTGTTTTTGTAACAGCTAATCTAGTTCTAACTCCAGGTTCAAAAGTTTGGCTGCTTTCGCGGGGTGTAATAAAAGATCTTCTAGGGTAAGTGGTGGTAGATTTGGCAGTGCAATGAAAGAAGGAATTGTGTGAGCCTCTATCACATGCCGGGCAGACGTTTCGCAAATATTCATCAATTTGTATCTAATAAAATTGAGACGCCTGCACCAAAACTACACAAGTTTGTCTAGACAGCCGGCGTTCTTCGTCTGCAATAGATGGGAACCCGCGGGGTTCCGGAAATGTAGATGTTTAAGAGTTCCAGAGATATCACCCGGAATTCCCTGTTTCACTCTACGACGCTTAGATTTTTGTTCCGGAACTCTACGTACGACTGGCATCTACACATATAATTGACTATCCAAAAATTTCAGACTCGGCCGGAGGGTAGAATTTTCAACGTCTCGAACCGTGTGGCATGATTGACCTTATCAAAGACCTTTGATAAGTTATAAGAGCAACCACTGCTGTTCTATGAAACGGCCTGTTCTGGTTGAGTCCTCAACTAATATGTGTGGATGTGGTGTGCAAAACTGTTATGGAAGGAAGAAATCCGTGTTGATGTTTGGCAACTGGATAGCTTTCGCTGATGCTGGGGAGGAATTAAGACTCAAGAGCCTTTGGCTACAAAACCGAAATTGACCTATATGATTCGCCTTTGCTGACGTGCCTGCCTATTTTTCAGGCTTCGGGGACAATAACTTTTGTCAGGTTCTCAACATTACCATTGAATATCCCTCTGGCTCCAACGCTTTGGATGACTTAGCGTGCGGGTGACACTTGCAATATCAGTCATTATAAGCTGTGGTGGTGCCTCCTCGGCGGGAAGAGATCCGATACGACGTAGAACTCTTCGTTTCGCCCTATCGCTTTCGGTTAGTTCAAAAAAATGTTGGTTAAAATATCAAGCCTCTTCGGATCAGTCACCGTTTGGTCGTTAATAGTGATTGTGACCCTATCATATTTTTTCCAGAGTTCGAGAGCGATTTAACCATTAACCACAGCTTACTTATATCGGTTACAAAGTTGCAACACTTCAGATGGGTTAGTCGCTGTTTCCTCTTATATTCCAGTATCAACAGGTTATAGGACTTCAAGCGTCAATTCACTGGTTCGGGGATCAGTAGTGTTGGAACAATGGAGATCATCACGTTCAATCTCTAGTGCCGGTGCCTCTGCTGGTTGATTTGATCTTATTTCTGATCAGCAAGTATGTAGCGAGTGGCTGCAGCATTGATGATGTTTTGGAAAACGCTTTCTGCCACTCGAACATCAAAACGTTTGGGCTGTTCTCTTACACGTTTATCTCATAATACAAAACTCTGGAGAATTATTGTTCTTGTCTTTATCCAAGCTTTCTCTCACTCCCCTAAGGAACTTTTTATGCTTTATAAAATGTTTCATTTGATATTATTTTACTTTTATAAAATTTTATTTCACATTTTCATAGAACAAGAATTGTTTCCCAGGACATAAGACCGATTAGTGCTTATCTGTAGATGAGAGAAAAATTTAGCATTATTCTTGTTTTAACCCAAATAAAGAAATCCAGACCAAATTTAAATCCGAAATGTTTTATTGATATATATCGCACTACTCAAGATTGGTAAGTATGTGAAAAATTGGCGATCTTACCTTGTAGGCCGCCATAATTATAGTACCTATAAAAATGGATCATTTGTTCATAGAATGATAAAAATACAGTCGATAACTATTACTACGAAACTGCTGGAATCAAAATTTTAGCTTGGCATATATGGTAGTCAATGTAGTTCCTTTATTGGAACTAAAAAAAAATCATTTAATTAAGTCCTTAAACTCCTTCGTCTGTTTTCGAAAACTTTGCAGATTTTCTGGAAATGTTTAACATTTCTTTAACACGATAATTCCCCTGGTTCGGGTTCTAGATCTGACGAAGATGAAATATCTTCTACCAAGTCTTTTAAATCACTTAAAATAGGGTTTGGTTTTTCGTCGCTTTTACTCTCTTGCAATTCGGAACGATTAAAATCCTCATCACTGCTAATATCCTCACAAGGTAAGTCCAAGTTCTTTTTACTTTCTGCTAAGTTTTGAGATTTTTGTTTATCCTCCTTGGGCGGGGTGGAGAGTTTAACACGTTTCTTTGGTGTATTGGTGGGGGATGTTATGTCATCGGTATCCGAGTCTATCAGACTATTCGAGGAATAACCTGAAAAAAAGAATTTAAATTAAATAAATATTTTCAATTAAAAATATATTTTCGCCCACCTGTGGTTGAGAGTTTCCGGCTGTTCCTTCGTTGTGCCAGCTCATTACCCTCTTGCTGATCATCATCATCTTCGGGCAACTCATCACTTGATATATCTTCCCTTTCCCTATACTGTTTCGGCAAATGTGATTCATCGGCAATGTGCGGCTTATGCTTGGGTTTCTTTTCATCCTTGCTATTCGCCTCCGTGTCTTGATTGATTTCACGTCCCGTTTGTTTTTTAATACTTTTGGCTATGACACGTTTCTGATGATCCAGCTGGGGGAAAAGATCTCTGGAATTTTCCAATGCCTGTTTGGCGGCATTCATTTCGGCCTGTTGTATCGAGGACCCAGTGGCGGTGGCCAAACGTTTGTTACGGAAATAAACAGCCACCGTATAGACACGGGTATTGGTTGGCCCCGAAGATTCAATGACTTTATAGAGCGGTATATCCGGCTCTCCACCATCCATGGTACGCAAAGTTAAACAGCATTGCTGCAGCTTCGATTTGGGATCATTCCAGTCTTGATTCATAATAAACATTTGCAGTCTTGGAAACAGGCAGACATGGCAAAATTGTTCGCAATACAACAGGCCTTTGTCTACATAGAGGGCTCCCAGAAAGGCTTCCAATAAATCGGCTCTGTCCTTGGTTTTCAATTCTGCCTTGGGATTGGAATAGACGGCATATTTTGTCATGCCCAAATCATCACAAACCACTGCCTGGGTTCGATTGTTGACCAAAGAGGACCTTAGCAGGGACAAATGACCCTCATGATGTTCGGGAAAATGACGATAGAGATATTCCGAACATATCAATTGCAAAACCGTATCACCCAGAAATTCCAAACGTTGATTGGAACCCAATGTCAAATGTGTAAAACCTATGGAACGATCTGTGAAGGCTCTGGCCAGTAGACGTATGTGCTTAAATTGTATGCCAATGGATTCTTCAAATTTACACAATTCCTGCAGCATGGGATATGAGGAGATACAATCCCTATCGCCCATGGGTTCCTGTTCCTGCAAAGGATGTTCGGGTAACTTTTTCCATATTTCCCTTAACGGGTCATCTTCCATAAACAGGGCATTCATAAAGACCTCATCGGCCACGGAAATACCACCATCTAACAATAAAGCCCCCATTAGGGCCTCAAAACAATTGGCCATGGCATGTTTCAGCTCCAACTCATGACACAAATCCGAACCATGGGCATACAACATGTATTCCTCCAAATGCAGTTTCTTGGCCAACAAAGCCAAATGTTGATTTTGCACAATGGCCGCCCGATAAGTGGCCAAACCACCCTCCTCCAGCTCGGGGAACATAAAGAACAAATGTATGGAACTTAAAAATTCCACCACAGCATCACCCAAAAACTCCAAACGTTCATTGTGGGTAATATTCGACATGGTTTCATATTCCTTGCCAAAACGGGACATAATGTTGATCAGGGTGTTGATACCCCTCTTTCTGGTGTTCATGTAGTGGATTTTACGATCACCATATTCCGGTTGTCGTATACCACAATTGGTCAAGGAATTGCGGGCATGATCGGGATTGGTACCATAATTTTCCTTATACGAAGGATGCGTAAGGGCCAATTGCAAAAGATATCTGTTTTTGAATTTATATTCTATCTTCTCTTCCAAGAAATCCAGGGATTTGTGAAACCTCAAGTGGCCACTTAGCACAGGCACCAACATGGCATGTTGCACAATGTCACACATAATGCCAGTGCGATGATAACCCTTGGAACTAACGGCCACGGTGACATTACGTTTCATTCTACCCTGGGTACGCATTTCTTGCAGACGAGCCTCCTTCTCTTCCAATTTACGTTTATCTTTAAACGACGGCTTGGACATATTGGCCATTAAATGGCGAAATTTAACATATTCCCGCCAGGCCTTTTGATATTCTGGATTACCGGCATAACTTAGCTGGGGAGGACGTATGCCAAAGTGGACAATGGCTGGGTGGCACACCCCCTCTTCTTTGTCATAGCATTCTGGTAAATCGGCAACATTACGATCCAGCTGATCTACACGTATGGAACTGGGTTTATAGCCAGGCTTGGTGGCCAACATGCCTTTGAAATCATCCACATAGTCCTGCCATTCACTTTGTGGGGTGTGTGTGAGATTTGTAAGCAGTGGTGAATCCACCAATGGTCCAGCATTGTCCAGGAGATATTTCAATACCTCACACATGGCCAAAACTTCTTTGCCATTATCGGGTAGGTCGCGTACAAAGCGGGGCAAGAAATGAAAGGCTGGGCAGCTGTCATTTTCGGAATCCTCAGATTTGGGCAGCAGGGAGAAATCCACCAACTCCAAGAGTTCATGGAACAAGTATTTAACTAAAGACCAGAAAAATAGGAATTATGAAAATTTAATGGAACTAAAATTATATTCTCACTACTCACAAAATATATCCAGCTCCTTGACGGTGAAATTTTCCGGCATCTTCTCGGGCACATACAATATAGTGTATTCAATATTGAAACGTATCACCTTACATGTTGGCAAATCACCCAATGGGAAATGGGAGAACAATGAGAACCCCTCAAACAGAAATTCATGCTCATCATGTTTGATGATGGTGGGGGTTTTGGTGAGGAAATTTGTGGGCGGTGAAATGGTGATGCGATAATGATGTAATTTACTGGCATTATTTGAATTCGGATCACATTTGGGATAACGTATCTCGCCCGGGTAGATACCATGACGTATACCAACTCGCCGCGATTTTTGTGAACACCTACACAGGGGACCATCATTCATTTCGCCCGCTTCGTTGTGCCACAAATCGGCATGTATACGATACGGGTGTTGGACTTTACGCGACAGCTCTTCCATACAGTTGTCCTGTTCCAATTTAAACTCCTCATTATCCGATGAATCTGAATCGGAGGAGGAACATCCTTCGGATTTGTGTTTACAGACACGGCGACGTGTTTGCCTTGGCGGCGGATTATAGGGTGGTAACTTGACTCGTACCCGTTCAAAACGTTTAAGTAATTCTTCCTCGAACAACTCACACAGCAGATTCGAACGTTTGGTGGCCTCAACTTCCTGCACCACATTTGTACGACGATAGTACAAATCAGCTGGTGAAGATCGTATCCATACCTCTCGGGTATCCTCATCCATTTCGGCCAGTTCTTCCATTTTCCGTTGGATATCTTCAGGAGTTTCACAATAATTAGAACGCCACATTCTTAGCAAACGATCACGTTCGGTTTCTGGCTTTACAGGGCGCTCCTCACGCACTCTTGGTCGCTTTTCGCTTTTGCTGGGTAGGGGCTCGCCACCATATGTTGCCGACTTGGATGACCGTTCAGACGATCCGCTGTAGGATGAGCTACGTGAATAATAATCACTACGATGTCTCGACGAAGAGGAGGAGGAGGAGGAATAACGATAACTTGAAGCTGAGCTGCCATGAGATGGAGCCGTTGTCGCTCCATACGAATAATAATTACTTCCATACGATCCATGATATTTATATGATGAGCTATGATGATAATCACTGTGTCCACGATGATAACTTGTTTCGGAGCTATATTCATAGGAATGGTGAGAATAGTTGGGAACAGCTGCTGCCGATTGCCAACTTTTTGTGGAGTAAGTATCGTAAGTGGCTGGATAGCTGCTGGAATAGTCATATTTGTCTTCATAAATTTTGGCCACAGATGTATGCTCACTGCTAGGAGGAGTAACATTGTCGCTTGTTGTTTCACCTGGATATGGTACTGTTGGTGGTGGTGGCGGTGGAGGAGGTGTATTTATGCTAGCCGGTGGGGGTGGCGGCGGTGGCATATTGCAAACCAAATTATACAAATTATTGGGATCTGCATAGACCAGGGGATTAACACCATGTTGTTCCTTGGAATTCGGAGGAATTGGTTTACTCATTTCACAGAACTAACAAAACTGAGTATTTTCCAGTATGACCTGTGTCAAGTCACTATGCCAATCAAGAAAGAAAGACGTCCCAAACAAAACAAATAAGACGGCAACAAGAAATGCCCGATAAAAAGCTAAACAGAAAGCAAAATTCGAGATAATTTTTTATGTTTACGAATGAGATATAAGGAAAACGTAATCAGCTGGAAAGAGCCACATGACGAGCTGCATCGTTTTCTCCAAAGACGATAAAAAAAAGTTTGCTAACGCCGTAAGGGTGTATGTCTTGGGTGTATAAATCAAAACAAATGCTTCTTCTTATTTTGCATAAAAATAAAATGATGGATAGCACAATAATTTAATTTCAGTTTTAAGCTTTCAATGGACTAAAACCGTTGTGTTTTATGGTTAATAGATAAAATAAATATATTACAAGTGTAAATAGTGAGGAAAGAACAACTGTTGTTCCATACCAATCTATACTTTATACAAGACATTTGTTGCATAAAGTGAAATGATAACACATGAATTTAAGGAGAAACATATGTAAAAGTTATTACTGTTATTTATTAATTCAACTAAACTGATAATGTATTGTTTATTACTCCTTTGTGTTGCAATGATTGTTAATTAAGTATAAATAATTTCAACAATTATTTTAAATATTAAAGGGAAGACATTATATGCTTCTTTGTATGGCAAAAAAATTGGCATGCAAAGTGAAGTGATAGCATATAACTCATGTTACTGCTTAAACTCAAAGACTTTACAATTTCATTTCATTTCATTTTCATTTTCATTTATTTATTTATATGTTGCAATGAAAAAGCCATTAGGCCAAAGCCTAATGTTACAACCTATGGTAGAACATCGGTAATTTATAAATAATTATCATTTCTTAATACAAGCAAGACAATAAATAAAAAACCTAATATTCTTATGAACGAAATTAATTTGCTCAAATCAGAATAACAGAGATGGGAGTGTTATAACTGTCACGTACTACCGTCAGTTGATTTCACATAATTCCTGTTTTCTATCAAACATCGTCATTGCTGGCATGTTGGCTTTTTGCACGGCTAGTGCTCGCCGGATGGGGGTGGTTCTTGACGACATTGACTAGGTTGGCAATACGTTAAACAAAAAAAATATCATGCCAGACTGATCAAAATTAAAAAAAAAAGGGTATTCCGAGCCCGAGAGAAATAGTAAACTATTAATGACTTTTACCACAGCATAAATAAGAAAAAGCAACCAGTTATATGGAAAAAAAAATCATGAAAGTACTCGGCAGGTGTTAAACCGAGCTCTTCCCTCCCACTGGAACACTTGTTCCACCTTGGCAATCAAAACATGTTCATATTGCCCCCATACCTACCTCTTCTTTAGCACGTCACCCTCCTAACCTTCAATTAAATTTCCTTATGGAGAAGACATTTTAATTCATATCCATCGTTATAATTTTATTTTTAATTCAAGGTTCTTAATTTTTAATACAAAAAATTGTGGATAATTTTAACTTTGAAATTCACATTGTTAAAAAGGTTATTACTAGTGCAAAGAGTTTTTACTAGTGTAAAATATTCGAAAATCGTAAGTATTATAATTTTGAACGTTGTACATAATAACGAAACTTAGGTAAGTACCACTTCTGGGTATTTATTTAATAAATTTAATATAAGATGGCTGCTCTTCTTTCTTTTCCAGGGATGCTGAACAGAGGTCCTATTATGGCGGTGATTGCTGGCAATGGAGCTTATTATCCGTCAGTTAATCTCGTAAGTATGAGTGTTGTATTTTAGTTTTATAGTTCAAACCCTGAATAAAAAGTTTTCTTCTATTTTAAGTGGAGTAAAAGCAAAGGGACAACATTAAGCTTTTGTGTATGGGAGCAACTAACTCCTGGTGGTTAATAACCTGTCCTACCTGCCTAGAGAGAGCTCTATCTATTCGGAGAGGATATGAGAATAAAAATTCGAATAATAAAGAAAACAAAAGGAAATGTCTACCCTTAAGGCCACGTATTTTCTATACCCTTTTATTCTAGGTTTATGGGCAGTCCGTCCGTCGCAAGTAATTATCAATAAGTTTGGAGGTAAGTAATGAGTTAAAGTCAATAGCTCGTTTTACACCATATCAGTTTTATATTCTTTTATTTTTAGGTACCTCAGCACCGCGGAATGCCTGGTGCTCAACAGCGTATCCAACGATGGGCAGAGGAGTCGGGATCGGTGGTCCAAATATCGTTATCGATGCTGGCAAAGGTGTTTGGTGCTGGATTACTTCCTTTTGTTCAAAAGTTATTGAGGTTTTTTTTTCTCTTTTCGTGCAATAAAGGCAATAAATATTTTTAAAATTTTGTTTTGTGATATGCGGGTATTATTACACCGGTTGTATTTAACGTGTGTAAAAACTTTACTATTTTCTTTTTGCTCGATCCACTTCCTGCTGCCAAGAACTCCAGAAATAAAAAAAAAGACTTTGAATATTTTACATGGCTTATTGGCTCCCTATTTCCAATATGTTTTCCACATTTAAAATTTCCCTTTTTGAAATGACAGGATAAACAAACCATATGTCACTTGGTGTGACAGACAAAATTATACGAGTTTCGGTATGTGGCGTATAGATGGCGTGAGTACGCACATGACAAACCCAACCATCCTTTGTACATCACTGTAAAAGGATGGGAGGGAAAAAGTGCGAAAAATAAGTTCGATGATTTGTAGAAAGCTTCATTTGAATGGAGCGCTTTTATTTTCGATAGGACGTCGATCTTGTCAGCTCTTCTTTGTCAATGAAATATGCCTGCGTCATTATTTCTACTGAACTGGCTACGTTATCATAGACAGACCATACATATGTAGTGAATTTCTTGAAGTGCGGGCGATACAATTGAATACCGGGGTTTCAAAAAAAAATATATACAATTAAGAATAAAAGAAAAACCAAGAATTTGCTGTTTAAAAAAACTTTTTGTGATTACCAATAGTGTCTTACTAATATTAATGTGCTACAAAAAAATAAATCCTAAAATAAACAAAATCTGAAATTTCCTAATAAGATAAAATTGTAACGGGTAAAAGAAGAAACGACGAATGAAAAAGTGTTATAAACGTAATATCGAGTTGGCGTCATATCACTGTGCTGTGCTTTCATACGACTGTACCACAACGAGTTGCGTACTATGTGATAGGTTTGTTGCTGGGTTGAAATAACCGTTTCATTCTAGAAATCGTCGATCATCTTCAGTGCAAACAAAGCGATGTGTAATTGAAAAAAAAACAGAAAATAATCTAAAACTAAAAGAATAGAGAATAAAGTTAAGAAAATCGTTTAATTACTAAAATAAATGTGTGCTGCCTAAGAATATAAATTTTAAGGAAAAATATAGAAATTCAATTTTATATTAATAATAAAGATATAAATTATGTATGTTGAAAAGTGTATAAATGGAATTAATATAATTTTCATCAATACTAAATCTGTGTATGCAATAAAAGTCCAATAATTTATATTTTCATATGCGTATTAATTGGCTATGCAAGTGAAAAACAAAAAGAAGTGAGCATTGTTAAAAAAAAAGCCTATCAGAAAAGTTTTTTTTCATTAATTAAAAGCCTACGTTATTCCTGTTGTTGTAATAGTGGGAATATTTGTGCATACGACCATACTTTTCTTGTGATATGATTTCTTAAAAGCAAAAGTGTAAGAGTAGTAAAATCAAAGAGTGTGAAATACAGCTATGAGAGAGAATAAAGAGTACATGTGTAGAGTCACAAAAAGGTTAACGGAAAAAAAAACATAACGAAAGTGAGGAAAGAAATGAATCAAAACAAATGCGAAGCAAAATCAAAACAAAGGCTAATTTGAATCAAAACATAAAAGAAATATAAAAGCAAAACAAAATAATGTTAATGATTGTGGATTTAACGGCGAATCAACGTTGCGATTATACTTTAAAGTGGAAAAGCAAATAAATTCTGATTTTGTGCCCAACTATGAGGAGTAAAAACCACCATGCAGAAATCTCTACTTTGCCGCTGTAATCTTATGATATATCTATTTTTGGATTTGTGCCGGTAAGTGAACAATCGTTTTATTTCTTTATAATAACAAAAATATAGTTTAGGAGAAAATGAATCTATGAGCTCGTAAGGAAAATATTTTTCCGTGAATAATTATTAAACATTAAATTTTTGCTGGTGTTATTCAGATCGTGAGAGGACTTCTTCTGTTATTATGGGATGCGGTAGAAAAACCATTTCTTATTGTTTCAAATCTTTCACGTGGAATACTCCTAAGGATTTCCCTCTCAAATCCTCTATTTCATAAAGACAATTTCCAATTGGTCGAACAATTCTGCACTTTACAAATTTAGGTCCTAGTTTAGCATTAAAGTTCCTTTTGAAGTCACTTTGCTGAAAGCTACGACGATATATCTCCTGCCCCGGTATAAATTTCACATTTCTAGATCGCACGTTGTACTTTTTTTCATTTATTAGGTATGCTCGGTGGAGATTCTCTCTTATTTTCTCTCTGATTATTTCTAATTTTATTGTTTGTGGAAGGACATTGGCCTCCGGATCCTGCAGAACCTTAAGCTTTCGCGCTAGAGCAAATACGCTACCATGATTCACCATGTTCATTCCAAAAAGGGCGAAATATGGAGTGACACCTATTGCGGAGTGAACCGATGATCTCAAAGAACACTCTATCTCTGACAAATATTTATCCCATTCTGTCTGACTATCCTTTAAGTATGAACGTATGGCTGATAAAATGCTTTGGTTGACTCGTTCAGAAGAGTTAGCTTGTGGCGAATGAGTTGCTGTGCGCACGTGAGAGATACCAAAGTTTGTCATAAGGTCCTCAAATTCCTTTGCTACAAATTGTTGTCCATTATCTGAAATTAGTACTTCGGGTGTACCGAACTTATGAAATACCTCTGATATGAGGAATTTAACCACATTTTTAGTACTGGCTTTATTCATAGCCTTAAGAAGAACGTACTTGCTAAGATGGTCAAGGACAATGAAAATATAAGTGTTGCCGGCCTTTGAACGCGGATAGGGACCTAAAAAATCTACAAAAATTCTTTGAAAAGGTCTCTCCACATTGGCTTCTTTGCCCATGGGAGGACGTAGCGTTATGTTGGCTGATTTAGACTCTTTACATACTTGACATTTAAGGACGAAATCTCTAACTTGCTTATTCATAAGGGGCCAATAAAAATACTCCTTGATTCTTTTTAGGGTTTTATGAAAACCACCATGTGAGGCCACAGGGAGACAATGGGCTTTTTCGATAATTCCATTGGTTAACTCCAATGGAATCCACAATTTCCAAGCAAAATCTTCATTGGTAGGTGAGCCGTCGTAAAATTGTGTCCTTTTGTAGACGAATCCATCTATCACTTTTATATCTGGCAACCGATCCGCGTTCTTACTGACGTTATCTATAAGATCTTTATAGTCCTCGTTTTGAAAAGCTGATGAAGAAAGGTCTATTAAAGCATCTACATTTACCGACAACTCTTCCATATCGTATCTTGACAGTGTATCAGGTACTACGTTCATGGACCCTTGGCGATGTTCTATATCGAAACTAAATGATTGTAAATGAAGACTCCATCGAGCCAATCGCCCACTTAAATCTTTATGCGACATCAGCCACTTCAGGCTACTATGGTCGGTAATAATTGTAAATGGCATAAGCTCGATATAAGGGCGAAATTTCTTTACTGCATTAACCACCGCCAAGCACTCTCTCTCCGTGACTGAATAATTCTTTTGTGCCGATGTGAGCTTCTGGGAATAGTAAGCAATGGGATGTTCCCCTCCTTCGCTATCTTTTTGGAATAGCACTGCTCCGATTCCCAGATCAGAAGCATCACACTGCACATAAAAATGTTTAGAAAAATCAGGATGAGTCAGGACAGGGCTAGTGATTAATGCAGTCTTGAGTTTTTCAAAAGCTATCTTTGCCTCTTCAGTAAAATGGAAAACTTTTCCCTTCTTTAAGGTATCGAAAATGGGCGCGGCGATCATTGCGTAATTTGGTATGAACCTACGATACCACCCTGTTGCCCCCGTAAAGCTGCGTACCTGTTTCGCGGTTTTTGGAAAACAAAAACGAGTTATTGTCTCAATTTTTGCTGGGTCTGGTTTGAGTTCACCACCTCCAACGATGTAGCCTAAATATCTTAATTCCTTGAAGCAAAACTTAGATTTAGCTACATTTATGGTTAGTCCTGCTTCAGCTAATAGATCGGCAACGCGCTTCAGCAACTCCAGGTGGGTTTCGAAGTCTGGCGAAACCACCAAAAGATCGTCCAGGTAAACAAAAACGCGGTCCCGCAGTACCGAAGGGATCACTCCATCCATTAGACGGCACAACCTTTGGGCCGCATTGCACAACCCAAAAGGCATGACGGTAAAATGGTAGAGTGGTCTTCCCGGTACTGTGAAAGCCGTTTTTTCTTTGCTGGACTCATCTAATGGGATTTGCCAGAAAGCGTCCTTTAAATCGACACTTGAGATAAAATAGGTATCTCCCAACCTGCTAAGCAATCCCTCAATGTGCGGGAGTGGGTAGGCATCCTTGACCGTCAGAGCATTGAGCTTACGAGCATCCAAGCAGAGCCTATTTTTGTCGCCCTTTCTGACTAGAGTGACAGGATGACTCCACGGACTTTCACTCGGCTCAATGACTCCTAGATCGAGCATTCTATCCAGCTCTGCATACATGAGCTTTTGTACAGCTGGAGATACAGGATAGTGTCTACTTTTAACTGGAGTTGCGTCACCTGTGTCGATCGTGTGGACCTCAGACTTAGTCCGGCCTAAGCCTTGTGTTGAATAAGAAGGAAATCTTGCTATTATCCCATCCAAACGTTTCCGTTGTGGATCAGACAATTTATGAACAGTTCTGTCATCACTGGTTCCACTATCAGCCTCATCACAAAGACTGACGCCGTTGGTGGTGAGACTCTCAACAGACGCAAACATTTTAAAGGTTTTCATGAAGTCAATTCCAAGGAAGAGTTGTCGGTTAAGTGTAGGAACCAAAAAGAAATCTATTGGGTGAGTCATATTATTGAAGGTAATATCTGCACGGATTTTCCCGGTTATCTTGTGTGGACTTCCATCTGCAGTCTTAACAAAAGAAAAGAAATCTTGAGGAGTTAAACCAATTTTTCCTACCAGATCTAGACAACCCTTACCTAAACAAGACACCGTTGCTCCACTGTCAAGAAGACCCTCAATTTCTTCGCCATTAATGTGAATTTTGGTGTAAAATCTCGAATCTTCACCTTCATATAGGGTAGTAGATGCAATTTCCTTTCTCAATTTCCTTCTCTTGTTGTATCTTTCTCTAGCCCGTTTTACTTTATTGGACACTACACCGAAAATTCTCGACCTAGCTTCTTCGTATTCCTTTTTCCTTACATGCAATGGTTTCAACACTCGTAATATCGGCTTCTCTTCATTCACCCTCTTGTTTTCGTTGACTAATAAGATTACCTTCTTCGCGTTACACTTTCCCTCTACTGTTCCTGCTGGGACTCCGTCTGGGTGGAGCGCGCCTCCCCAGTTCGAGGAACGCTCCGATTCAAGTTTCCCTGGCACCTTGGACATTTTGGGGAAACTACTCCCTCTCTTCCGCACTTGAAGCAGAACACCTTTGATATGGGTACAGGACAATCAATGTAACTATGACCAACCTTTCTGCAATTCCAACACGTGTAGCGGTTGGACACTGCTAAAGCGTCTACGTCCAATTCAGATTCGGCCTCTGTGTATTCTAGTTCGTGTACTTTCTGTGGTTGAAACGTTCTTTGCTGGTATGCTTGTCTTTGTCCAGCTACCATCAATTCAGCCCGTTTGACCTCCTGCCGAAAATGGTTCAACCCTTTAATTTGAATAGGGAAAATAAGAGAAGCAAGTGATGATTTTAAGTTTCCTTTCATGATCTCTACCAAGTCGTTTTCATCATATGGAGATCGTTGTTGGTTTCTCATTTTGAGCACGGCATCGAAAAACTCATCAAATGTTTCATTCGGCATCTGACGACGACCCATAATTTCTTTTTGAATTTGAAATTCATTCTGGTACCGACGAAATTGGGCTAAAAATGCTTCCCTCAACTCATTCCAGTGCCTAAACGGGGCAATTCGTCGTTGCTGCCAGTACCAACTTTCGGCACTACCCTCAAGTAACTGTGGGAACTCCCTGAGAAGTTCGTCAAATGGATAACCATAGTCTTGCCTCGTAGACTCCAAACAGAAGATAAAATGTTCAGCATCTGCGTTTTTCTCACTGCCATTGAAGCGCATTCCCCAATCTTTAACTTTGTATTTTCGATTGCTACTTTGATGAGCTACATTTCCGTGATAGGATGATGCATTCGACGGCTTCTGAGGTCTCATTTCTGTTGGATTCCCCGTATAATCTTGACCTCTGGTATCCACCGCAATGATAGGATTGTTATTCTCGGCTCCTGATGCCTCATTTCGAACTGCCTGCGATGGAGGAGGTTCCCTAATTCCGTGCATTGATTGAGTGTTTTCTACAACTGTCGGATAACGTGTTAGTGGCGGTGGCGCACGCGTCATTGGAGCTATAGCTGGAGTCTGTATCCCAGCTGCGTGTTCAGCCGACAAACCTTCCTCGGTGGAATTTCTCACGGTTGGCCGTGCTTGCTGTAGATCACGCTGAACCTGCCGAATCACTTCAATACTGCGCATCAGTTGAGCTTGTGCTAACCCAATGGATGCCATCATTTCCTGCAGATTATTAGCCTGGTTGAATTCCGATCTATCGTCTCCATTCCCCTGTCGAAATTCTCGTCTTACGTTCTGAGCGGTCAAACTTGAAAATGCTGGAGAAAGTATAGTATTATTCAGTTCATCCGGACTGATCGATGCATCGCTGCCAATCGATGGAGCGCTTGACGATCTGACAATGCCTCCCGTTCCAGTGTTGGTTTGCAAAGTTGGTGGGTTGTTCGTAGGAACTTGAGTTTGCGTGTTCTGTGCCCCTACCCTTGGCTCGGAATTAACTGCTTCTTCGTTGTTTTCCATATTATTTGGCTGTAGCTTACTACCACTTCTAGTCAAAACCATTCCAAAATTAATAGTAAACTAATAACTGTGTTCCTAAGAAATATTAAAAATAAAAACTAAAAATCAAGGAAACATATATACTAGTAGTAATGCTTCTACTTCTGTCGAGGTAGGAAAATAATGATGTATTAAATAATATCAAAAAGTCTTTCAATATATCATAAGGTAGGATTCTAGGTGACGGCCATTAGAAGAGTAGATGTTACTTTCAGATTTAAAAGAAATAAGGTAAACAAAATAATTACCTCCTGCAATCCTGTGCTTTAACTTTTTATACTGTGGATATGGAAAATCTGGTTTAACAACCTAGTGACATCGAAAGAAATCTCGTTGACTATACTATGAGTGTTTCTGTCTAAGAATTGACTCCGGACAACGAAATTCCTTTCGAATACAAAATGATTGTTAAAAATGGCTATTGCAATGAAAAACTAATTGGATGTGACCCAAAAACTCCACACAATCGTGGCAATTAAATGCGTTGTGTTACTAACACTGGCGATAAGACCTACGATTATATGTAGCCTAAAGGTTTGGTGATTCAAAATTAAATCTCCACCTCACGACCCCGATTTAGAAAACTTTAGGTCGGGACTGAGATTTTAACATTGGACCGTGATATTGAAAATGAAGAAATATCGTTCAAAATGTATACTATTTAAACCAAGTGGCAGCCGGGAGGACTCTTTGAGTTACTCAAACGGGACCTACTTGCTTTAAATAATATATGGCTACAATTATTTTTTTTGCTTTCATCTCGGGCCCCACGTTGTGGGCGCCATTTTGTCACGTACTACCGTCAGTTGATTTCACATAATTCCTGTTTTCTATCAAACATCGTCATTGCTGGCATGTTGGCTTTTTGCACGGCTAGTGCTCGCCGGATGGGGGTGGTTCTTGACGACATTGACTAGGTTGGCAATACGTTAAACAAAAAAAATATCATGCCAGACTGATCAAAATTAAAAAAAAAAGGGTATTCCGAGCCCGAGAGAAATAGTAAACTATTAATGACTTTTACCACAGCATAAATAAGAAAAAGCAACCAGTTATATGGAAAAAAAATCATGAAAGTACTCGGCAGGTGTTAAACCGAGCTCTTCCCTCCCACTGGAACACTTGTTCCACCTTGGCAATCAAAACATGTTCATATTGCCCCCATACCTACCTCTTCTTTAGCACGTCACCCTCCTAACCTTCAATTAAATTTCCTTATGGAGAAGACATTTTAATTCATATCCATCGTTATAATTTTATTTTTAATTCAAGGTTCTTAATTTTTAATACAAAAAATTGTGGATAATTTTAACTTTGAAATTCACATTGTTAAAAAGGTTATTACTAGTGCAAAGAGTTTTTACTAGTGTAAAATATTCGAAAATCGTAAGTATTATAATTTTGAACGTTGTACATAATAACGAAACTTAGGTAAGTACCACTTCTGGGTATTTATTTAATAAATTTAATATAAGATGGCTGCTCTTCTTTCTTTTCCAGGGATGCTGAACAGAGGTCCTATTATGGCGGTGATTGCTGGCAATGGAGCTTATTATCCGTCAGTTAATCTCGTAAGTATGAGTGTTGTATTTTAGTTTTATAGTTCAAACCCTGAATAAAAAGTTTTCTTCTATTTTAAGTGGAGTAAAAGCAAAGGGACAACATTAAGCTTTTGTGTATGGGAGCAACTAACTCCTGGTGGTTAATAACCTGTCCTACCTGCCTAGAGAGAGCTCTATCTATTCGGAGAGGATATGAGAATAAAAATTCGAATAATAAAGAAAACAAAAGGAAATGTCTACCCTTAAGGCCACGTATTTTCTATACCCTTTTATTCTAGGTTTATGGGCAGTCCGTCCGTCGCAAGTAATTATCAATAAGTTTGGAGGTAAGTAATGAGTTAAAGTCAATAGCTCGTTTTACACCATATCAGTTTTATATTCTTTTATTTTTAGGTACCTCAGCACCGCGGAATGCCTGGTGCTCAACAGCGTATCCAACGATGGGCAGAGGAGTCGGGATCGGTGGTCCAAATATCGTTATCGATGCTGGCAAAGGTGTTTGGTGCTGGATTACTTCCTTTTGTTCAAAAGTTATTGAGGTTTTTTTTTCTCTTTTCGTGCAATAAAGGCAATAAATATTTTTAAAATTTTGTTTTGTGATATGCGGGTATTATTACACCGGTTGTATTTAACGTGTGTAAAAACTTTACTATTTTCTTTTTGCTCGATCCACTTCCTGCTGCCAAGAACTCCAGAAATAAAAAAAAAGACTTTGAATATTTTACATGGCTTATTGGCTCCCTATTTCCAATATGTTTTCCACATTTAAAATTTCCCTTTTTGAAATGACAGGATAAACAAACCATATGTCACTTGGTGTGACAGACAAAATTATACGAGTTTCGGTATGTGGCGTATAGATGGCGTGAGTACGCACATGACATAACCTTGAATACTGTTATTAGAGTATTCTTTAAGGTTATTAAAAAATTAAAATCACTAATAACAAAATGTCCTCAAAGTGGGATAAGCAATGCCTCCAATACTAGCCACACTTCTCTGAACTTCTAGAATTTGCATTAACCAACAATATTCTTTCAAAGGAAAACTCTATTCTAAAATGAAAGACCAAGGATAATACTTCAGAAGGCTTTTATTTAAACGTTTTTTTGCAATCGGCGTAATATTGTTATTCAATAAGTTTGTAAAAACTTGTCAATCGTTACGCGCTTGAAGCGTATTGCTTTTTTTTTGGTATATAAATCTGGACAAGTCGGAATGGTTGAATGATGTTATGGTTGTTACATTGTTATATGATATATGTATGCTATACATTTTATTATTTGCAAAGGGCAGGAATAAATGGTGCACTTTTGTTACGCTTTATAGGATAATAGGAAAAAGGGTGATTAAAAAAACATTGAATAAATTTAACAATAAACACAATAAATCAATGTAAATTAGTCGTGCCACAGTGAGTTGGCTCTTTTTGCTATACAACATGATTTGTTTGCTTCACGGGCCAAGCCGTGTAGCGCTAATTAACACTAGTTGTCTCCGAATGCGGTGTATGAATCTCTTGATGGCGCTGCAACAAGCTCAGGCACTGATGTAGGCATTGTGTACTGGCGGTGGATATTGCTTTCATTAACAACAGATCTGGGTCGGTAGGTGAAAATGTTTCGCATTCGATATTTTCAATGGCTCGAGCTAGGGAAGCATTGCTACAATTCAAAGAACAAAAAAGGAAAAATTAACAAAAAAAAAAAATGATTAGAAAATTCCCATTACCATTGTTCGGTTAAGTATAGAGCTTGTCGGGCCGAGGCCATGGCATCCGATGCAGCCAACAATTCGCGTGGTGGCAAAGGCGTTGAGTTGCTAATATCCATGGCCTTGGTGTGACTTTCCACCACAGCCCTCAAGCCATCTACCCATTCTTGGCGAGCTCTAGCATCTGCGGCTCTTAGTTTAATTGTATCACCGGAAGCGCAGCCGATAGAAAATGTGCGCGAATCTTCATCACTGGGACAAACAACGGCTCCCGCCAAATGTACCTGGCCACGTGGGGAACCATTTAAGACATGAGAAGGTGGTGGTACATCATCATTGGCCGATGTGCTATCAGACAAATAATAGCTCAGTATGCCGCTCTGTGGATCCACTGCAAACCATCGGTACTGCCATCCTAAAATAGTCGATACAAATAAAAATAAGAAAAAACATCCACCCTGTCAGGTGACCAGCACATACCTTTCATTACATTGGTGTACTTGCATAGCAAACCATTTAATTGATGACGTACTCCCTGATTCAGTACCTTATTTAGATTGGTTTCCATTTCTTGCCGTCTACCGCTGCTATCACTAATTGCTGGTTTCAATTGTTGATATGATGCTGTTGCTACTGCTGTCCTCTGATGTGTGCTACTTTGGGGTGGTATTGGTGTCGTTGCTATTCTATGATTGTCCTCCTCTCGCAATACGCTCGGATTAGAGTATATTCTCTTTCCGGCCGTATCCTCCTCGAATATCCCTGGATCTTTTTGTTCCGTGGCTGTTGATGCAAAATTTACGTTTTTGGTTTGGTGGGGTTCCTCCTCCTGGTTTGGGGTCTTTAATCGTGATTTGTTTTTACGATGCTGAAAAGTTGATTTTATTTTACGTAGAATTTTTGCGAATTTTTATAAACAACGTCAATTGGAGAAAATGTCAAATGTGCTGGTGATTCAACCACAGTTTGCTGGTTTTAGATAAATAGCACAAAATCTTATATGATTCCAGATATTAATCCCAAGAAAAAATTATCTGACGCACTTGATGAGCTCCTGTGTTTCCTGGGTTTTTTTATTGTGAGAAATACAAAGCTGACTGATTCATGTGAGAACGCTGTCAATGTATTGCTAACGTGATGCCGTTACATTTAATAAGGGTGGTTCACACCAGTGTGTTTAGTTTCTACTTTGTTTTGCCACTTTACCGTACTTCAAAGACTTGAAAAATAATATCAAAAGCACTATTATTTTATTGAAATTCATTAAAAAATCTGCAAACATACATATCTTTCAAATTTATTGTGCTATTTTTATCAGCTTTTTGGTAGTCAATATTGTAGACATGATTTTGACGTTTTTGTTCGGTGTCAATTCTTTCGATTGTAAAAGTTCTCATTTCACACCTTTATTGAACTAGGATTGAGTCCCAGGTTGCATAAAATATTATGGAGTACAACTATTTTAATTTTTTACAATGCGTAAACATTTTGTTTACATTCCCTTATTGCCCGTTACGTCCACCACTAATTTCCTTTTGCGGCTTATTAAAATTCAAAGTGACAACGTCTGCTGGGAACGGCGTTGCAAAAAAAGCGGTAGTGGCGGCTTTGTTCTTCTCTTCAATGGACATGATGAAGTAGTTAGTGGCGAAAAAACTAAAAAATTATGGGAAAATTTAATGTTTCCCCTTAAAAATACTTTTGAAAAATAAAATTTATAATGTGAATTTGCAATAAGCGGTAGTGTATAATAAATGCAATCACCGAATATACGGAAAAATGTGAAAAGAAAAAATGTAGTACCGCAAGAAGAGAAAAAATCAATGAGCATCATCAAAAGAAGAAGAAGCAATTTTTGAGGCACCACAAGCAATAAGAAAAGAAAAAATCTTAGCAATTATGTACATGTGTGTGTGTTGAGTGTTTGTGGTGCGTGTATTTCTTTCATTTTTCTTCATTTCAAAGAGGTCTGAGTTCCCTATTCTAACAACACCATACAGCACAACTGAGCCAGCCAGCCAGTCAACTAAAAAAACTTAATGTGCTGTAAAAAAAAGAGGGCTTTGAGCAAAAGCCACGACCGCGCCGCTGTGTTGTTACCATTGTGGGCCTGCTAATGTAATATGGAATGGAATTATTATTTGTTGGATACCTATCATTGAACAAGAATTGAACCGAGTGTCGAGTGTGGTTTATATTTATTGATTGATTTTTAATATGGTTTTCTTCCTGCTCTCCCTTTTGCTTAACATTAAACGTATGTTAGAAAACAAGAACAAAGAGTGTGTGTGCAAATGCGAGTGGGTAAATGCGGTATAATTTTTCCTGTGACATATGATATGTATGGTGGTGGTGCAATGCTCGGTCGCCCTCCCCGACTTTTTTTCTTATGGCCAAATATTTTCATTAATTTCCCCTAAATGAAGAAAATTTTAATCAGTCGGTGCTGATATTTTGTTATAATTTCGGAAACAATGCAGACGAGGGTGGAATTTTAAAACAAACAAATGTCAGTTGGCAGTTGGTTCCGAGTTCTACTGTGTACCAACACCCATATGTACAATGTCGTCGTCGTTGTGATGTGATGTGTGGTAGTCTTTTAAGCCACCAATAATATTATCCAGTTGTCAGTGTAGGACGATAGACAGTCATACGCCATGCATGGAAGTGAATTTACAAGTTTTTTAGTTTTCAAAAAATAAAAATCCAAAGAAAGAAGAATTGTGAAATACTAATTGAGTAAAGAAAATAAGTAACAAAAAATTGCAAAAAATGTGTGCGTGTGTCTCTTTTTTTGGAGAAAAAAAAAGAAAGCTATAATTGAAAAGTAAATCAAACGTCAAACCAACAAATCCAAATAAGTTAAAAAAGAAAAGAAAAAACAAAACAATAATATCCAAAATACAAAAAAGAACAAACAGAACTGAGCAAGAAATCATCAACAACACACACATGCTGACAGAGCTTTGACGTTGACGTCGCCAGAGCAGCAACAGCAGCGCCATTGTCTGTGTGTGCGCTTAATGTTTGGTTTGGTTGTGTCTCGTTGCCCTGGCTGGGTTGGTGGTGTAGTTTTGTTTTCATTTTGCGATTTTCATTTATCATTGTTTTATGTTTTCTTTTAACTTTTGTTGTTGTGTTGTTGGTGTGTGAATATTTTGTCATGACTTTTTGCCTGCTGATGCCTCTGCTCTTTTATATGTGCACTGCTGCTGTCGTCGCCGTTGTGATGTGTTCCGTTCTGTTCAATTCTGTTCTTGCCAAACAAAAGTTTTGTTTGCGAATTAGGAACAACTCTAGTTTAGTAAAAACTCTTAGATTTTTTCGAAATTTTTTCCAGAGGTAGGTATTTTTACGCTGATCCCGGGAAACTATTTTTTTCTTGGGGGACGGACCCGGGACCCCAGATTTTTGACCCGAAAGTCCGGGGTCAAGACCCCGCCTGGACCCGGATCCACTTACCCGATATAGACAATATGGGTATCGATTGAAAGCTTATGGAAATACCTATCCAACAAGTGGTCACGTGAAGGGGTAAATTGTCATGGTTCGGAAGTTATAGTCAAATTATCGTTTTTTTTTTTTATGAATTTTTTATGAAACCCCCAAAAAGTCAAAAAAGGGCCCATTATGGGGGTCAACAAAATTGCTTCCAAATTATAGCTGACATTCTTACCTTTCCAAAATGCTACAATTTGTGCTAATACCTTTTTCGGTTCCAGAGATATGGGTCTTTCCATCCGCATAACCCGATTCTAACCAGTTCATTAAAAAAGTTTCTAAATTTGGCACTTTTTGTAAATAGCCGGCCTTCGGCCGGGGCTTGAGATTTTCTCCTCTTGGTATGTCCTACACCGGATAACGCGAACCAAAGTTTTCTAAATTGGATACCTTTTGTAAGTAGCCGGCCTTCGGCCGGGGCTTGAGATTTTCTCCTCTGGGTATGTCCTAAACCGGCTAACGCGAACCAAAGTTTTCTAAGTTTGACACTTTTTGTATATAGCCGGCCTTCGGCCGGGGCTTGAGATTTTCTCCTCTGGGTATGTCCCACACGGGCTAACGCGAACCAAAGTTTTCTAAATTTGACACTTTTTGTAAATAGCCGGCCTTCGGCCGGGGCTTGAGATTTTCTCCTCTGGGTATGTCCCACACCGGCTAACGCGAACCAAAGTTTTCTAAATTGGATACCTTTTGTAAGTAGCCGGCCTTCGGCCGGGGCTTGAGATTTTCTCCTCTGGGTATGTCCCACACCGGCTAACGCGAACCAAAGTTTTCTAAATTGGATACCTTTTGTAAGTAGCCGGCCTTCGGCCGGGGCTTGAGATTTTCTCCTCTGGGTATGTCCCACACCGGCTAACGCGAACCAAAGTTTTCTAAATTGGATACCTTTTGTAAGTAGCCGGCCTTCGGCCGGGGCTTGAGATTTCTCCTCTGGGTATGTCCTAAACCGGCTAACGCGAACCAAAGTTTTCTAAGTTTGACACTTTTTGTATATAGCCGGCCTTCGGCCGGGGCTTGAGATTTTCTCCTCTGGGTATGTCCCACACGGGCTAACGCGAACCAAAGTTTTCTAAATTTGACACTTTTTGTAAATAGCCGGCCTTCGGCCGGGGCTTGAGATTATCTCCTCTGGGTATGTCCTACACCGGCTAACGCGAACCAAAGATTTTTCAATTTCATTCTTACGCAAAATATACCTTTTTTTATTGTTATGCGGATGGAAAGACCCATATCTCTGAACTCAGTAAAGGTATTAGCACAAATTGAATTTTTTTGGAAAGGTAGAAGTGTCAGCTATAATTTGGCATCAATTTTGTTGTCCCCCATAATGGACCTTTTTTTGACTTTTTGGGGGTTTTATAAAAAATCCGGGTCCAAAAAATCGATAATTTGACTATAACTTCCGAACCGTAACATCTTACCCCATCATGTGACCACTTGTTGGATAGGTATTTTCATAAGCTTTCCAAAGATACCCATATTGTCTATATCGGGTAAGTGGATCCGGGTCTAGTCGGGGTCTTGAACCCGGACCTTCGGGTCAAAAATCTGGGGTCCCGGGTCCGTCCCCCAAGAAAAAAATAGTTTCCCGGGATCATGGTTAAAATACCTACCACAGAAAAAATTTTCGAAAAAATTGAAGAGTTTTTACTAAACTAGAGTTAAGCCGCGAATTATTCTCCGTGTAGTTTGTTGTTGTGTGTCGGTGCCGTGCCGCCAGTGAGTGTGCGAGAGCTTAATATAATATTTTCAACCTAGGATGGCCCTGAAAATGTTTGCCAAAATTTTGCAAAAATCAATAAATATACGAAATGTCCCAAAATCTACTGAAAAAACAACAATAACAAATTTAAACACTTACTAATTATGAAATAACGAAAAAATAAACCGAAAGAAGAAAGGGGAATAGGAATAACGAAAATAAAAACAAAATTAAATTAAACAAAAAATCCATAAATTCCAAGTGAAATCAAGATTCCAAGAATTTAAAGCCTAAACAAAATTCCAAACAAATCGAAATTAGTGACTAAAGTTTCTCGTGAGAAGTGAAGAAATTTAACATCATTACCAAAAATTCTCCATTGTCGTCGTCGCCATCATGGACGGGCAACGCGCTCGCGACATTCTTACCTTGTTGCAGGAGCGCGTCGTCTTCCTTACCGGTGGTAGGGACAGACGTGGTGGTCCGATCCTTTGCTTTCCGGCAACACCCAAGCGGGATCGCTTAAAACCAGATGATTTGAGGCGTTTGTTGAGCTATTTGATAATGATACCTAGGTAAGTAATGTGAATTCTGTTTTCAATTGTGTTTTTTTTTTAATTGTTATTACTTTTCATTTGTTAAGGTAAATATAGAAAGTCATAGAGGGATTATTGGAAATTAGGGAAATGATCGATCGCTTTGCAAGTGGGTTGAGATACTCGTGGGAATTATTGGTAGTTGTTAAGGTCATAAATTGTACAATAGCAATCAAAATTTGATGGCAAATTTAATTCCACGATCCCTGATGAATGGGTGGAATTGGGACTCAGGGTATTATAGAATCCACTTATGGATTTTTTTGTACAAAAGAAGATTTTTAGTGAATAATACAAGGAAATTTAGAAGATCAGATCGTAGGTCACGAAAAGATGAAAAATCGAAATTTAGAAGATCAGAGATCGTAGGTGGCAAAAATATAAAAAACTCATGCATTTTGGAAAAGGGAAATATTTGGAGTGATTAATAATTGCCAAGGTAATAATTTTATTGAATTTTGGCAACATAAAATTTGTATTAAATCTATTATTTTCAGGTTAAAAAATGTAAAATAATTATGCAGTATTCAGGGCCAGGAAAGTGGAGAAATTTGGAAACACTCTCATAAGACCTACTCAAAAGAAGCATTTTCTAAAACGTTGGAGTAGGTTTTGAAATTTGAAATTGAAATTCGTGGTTTTAAGGAAATATTATTGGAATGCATGTGGTAGCTGGGATTCCGAAAAAGGAAATCTAATCTGCGTAAAGTAGGACAGGGAATTCCACAATGTGGTGTTATTTCCTTGGGCTTTTACGCTATCGTTTGGTTCAAACTCTATCGATATTTCACCCAGCCAAAAGTGGTCTTATCAATTTATCGAAAGACGCTGTATGAATCTTTAGTCTCACCATGATAGGATCTATGATCGGGAACAGTTCTAGCAGGCTAAATACTTCTTAAAAAAAGTTGGACAGGAAATTTCACAAGGTTTTGTTGTTGGAACACTTGAACCTATGCCTTTCTGATTTTTTACGCTATCGTTTGATTCAAACCCTATCAATGTTTCACCCAGGCAAGTCGCTTGAGTTATCAATTTACGGAATGACGACTTATGAATCTCTAGTCTCACCATGATAAGATCTATGATCAGGAGCGGTCTATGTTCTAGCAGGTGGGGTGCTATAACAACAGCTCCCACAATAAGAAAGGTTCCTGCGAGGGTCTACGATCTGGAATTTCCTAAGTTCTACTCGCCCTGAGTTCTACTAAAAGAACCAGCCATTCTAAAGTTGCCTACAAAAACCACAGCTATCTATGGGTGATCACGAACAAGTAGTAGTTGCTGGTTTGGTGACCCCTAATCAGCCAAGATTACTCATTTAACACCAGCATTGGTATCTATGATCCATAGGATAGTTAAGCGGCTCTCAAAGCTAAAGAGTCAAGTGCCTTTAAATCGAGATACACTCTTGCCAGCAAGAAAAGCCTCCACTTTGTCCAAGTGGAGGCTTGGACACATTAGGCTTTGTTGGGTTCCAGGATTTAGGAAAATTGTGAAGATTGAACTGGCTGATGAATAAGAACGAGGCGAATACCAGTCGATTGATCCACCAATTTATGAGACTGTTAAATCACCATTAAGCTATTGTATCAGGTGTTTCCAAAAATCTCTAAACGAAAAAGCTGGAAGAAGATGGCACTTGGGAACCAGTTGCAGGGTATCAGATGCCATCTGGCCAGTAATATCAAGAAGAACAAGCTTTATTATATCACATAGTAGGTCTTAGATAAGAATCGTGGTAGGCACACGGTTTGGTCACTGCAGTATGATATTTCTGACTACTGTAGGCTATGTGAAGACGAAGAAGAGGCAGGGAATATTGAACATCTACTTTGAAAATGTCTAACAGGAGACATATGTGGCGGAAAATTTGACGTTCTTCTCAGATATAGATCTCATTATCAATTACAAGTTTGTCAAAGCCATTCTCTGGCTAGGCAGACTAGACAGCTTGCACCTTGTTTTCTAACAACAGATATATGCTATTTGACAGTTGGGAGACTTTCAGACATAGATTCCATCTTCAATTACAAGTTTTCCAAAGGCATTACCTGGTTAGGCGGACCATCCAGTAAACTGCGTTTTGCCCTGTATCTTTAAAATTTTATATATTTTAAGTGATAATCATCAGGTAACGTTTATAACAGGAAGTTGAAGTTTGTGGCAGAGACATGGACCTCTACTGTCTTGTCAAGGACTTACCAAATTCTTTACTCCTTGGGTTGCCTTAAGGCTACTGAAACACCCACTTTTCCAATTAGGTTTCTATCTCTGTAGGACATCGCTATGATATTTGAATGTTTAGGGAAGAGCTCAATCAAACCTTACGACACCTTTTAGCTACTGAAACTGCCACTTTTATGTCTATCTCTGTGGGACATCATTATGACATAAGAAAGTTTAGGCTAGAGTTTCTTAATATTGAGGGAAAGTGGCTTTTTTACCCTTGAATGACTGGCTTCTATCGACGTAAGGTTTCTATTATTTATGTGATATGTTGCACTGTTTTAGAACCCGAAGTAAACTGGAGCAGGTTCGTATGCTTTTCAAGCAATATTCTGCAGTCTTATATAGAGTCCACTTTAATATAGTAGGATATGAATGCCTTCTTTCCATAGTTCTTGAAAAATACAGTGTGTATATTTTCTGCAAATATTCTCGAAAATGGGATGAAAGCTGTATGGATAAATAAATATCGCCTTTTTAACCCATTCCCCTTGAGTTAGTGTCAGTGACGGTAAATTGCTTGTCGTTGCTAAGATAAATGGCCACATTGAATAAATCTCATGATCTCAATACAATCAAAGAAGCAATGAGTTTTTGTTTTCACACCAAACGGATACTTCTATATTGACTGTGAATACACAAAAAAATTTTTTTCTTCTAATTTTCTATTTAATAGTTGCACCCATTATTTGGGAAAACCTCGTGGTGGTATCATCATCCATATTATCTTTTTATTTTTCGACTCAATCTTATTTGTTTGTTTTGTTATGTTACAGTCCATTTTATCTGTTTTTAATATTTTTTGGAATATTTTAAAAGGTAAATGGCACCACAAACCGGTTTTTAAATCTCCGATTATCAGTGACTTGGCGAGAAAACAGAAATGTTTGGCACCGTGATTATTTATTGACTTTTACAAAAATTCTAATCTAAATACATAATTCATATTGTTGACATCGATTTTTGAAGGGAACATGGAAATATTTTAAAGTAGTTGCTGCTTCTAGATGTTTGGATGTAAAACGGTAACAGCTCAGATTACACTTTCTACCTCCTCAAATATTTGTAAAGTAATCAATATTTTCGAGATTGGGGCTAGAGTTTATTTAACGCGAAATTGGGTGGCCTTACTTTGACAAGGAGGAAACGTCTTTATCGAAAACCAGTTTTTCGAAGAAAACATATTTAAAAAAGAAACCATGAAGTGAGGAAGTACCTAGGATTCTCTACCACATAGGAAAGGTAACAAACTGTAAAATATCTGGTGATATTTATTTAATAATATTCATTTTTCATTTTGAGTTTTTAATGACCTAAGAGATGAAGTTGGAAAGTGGAATCTAGCGAAGTCCCACACATCAACCATTATGCGACACTTTTTGCCATTGGTTAGGCGTCTTATCAGACATAATGGATGAAATTTCAGTGGTTAGTCGAAGATCAATTTTGGAAAGTTCCATTTATGCGTAGATCATTAGATAAATACATACGCGAATTGATGTGAAACATTTTTATACCCTTAGCCATATGGCTAGGGTGGGTATATGTAAGAAAGCCATATGGCTAGGGTGGGTATATATAAGAAAGCCATCCTTGGAAAACTTGGACTGATTAGGCTTCGTTGGGTTCTACGACATAACAATATGGTGGGGAATGAAGTGGCTGATGAAGACTGGCACTTGGAAATCGGTCGCAGAGTATCTGAGGCCAACTGAACGGTAATAACGAGGAGAAGAACAAGCTCCTTTCTATCACTTAATAAGTCTGCAGTAACTGGTCACTGCAGTATCAGATATCTGTCCTCAAGATGAAACAACGGTGTTCCTTACTACTGAGGTCTATGTGAACATGAAGAGTGGTTATATATCATTTGATACGGCCAAAACGTACCTCATCCAAATAACGGTTTTTATAGACCCTAGGTCTTTTTGGAACAAATCCGTTTCGGGACATTTGGAGACGATCTAGCGATGTCCGTCCGTCTGTCTGTCTTCTAGCTGGTGCGCACGATAACTCTCGAAGGGAGTATCCGATTTGATCCAAACTTGGTGCGTCGTAATATTATTATCAAACTTAGATCGAGTTCGGAGATGGACAATATCGGTCCACTCCTTCTGGTACCTCCCCCACAAAAAGTAGAAATTTTCAAAGAAAATAATTTTCTGCACAGAAAGATAATCCGACTTTGCTTCAACTTTGCAAATTCTAATATTGTCATTAGTTCAGGTGCGAAAATGGACAATGTCGATCCACTCCATCAATAACCTACCCCACAAAATTGGGAATAATTATAAATCTTATAAGTGTCCGATTGTCTTCAAATTACACATATCACAATATTTGTATTAACCCAAGATCTGGGGTGAAGATGGGATATATCGATTCACTCGCTCTGGTACCTCCCCCACAAAGGGTCAACATTTTAAATGTCTATGAAGCTGATAAAACGCGAAATTAACCTCCGATTTTATCCAAAGTTCGAACATCTCAATATTTCTATCAACACAAGATCTGTTATAAAGATGGTAGAGATCGGACCATGCCTTCTGGTACCTCCCCCACAAAGGGTCAAAGTTTCGAAACGATTACAAAATCCGAAATAAGCATCCTGTCCCCTTCATATTTCAAACTTCACAATATTTTTATTAGCCCAAGGTCTGGTGTGATGATAGGATATATCGGTCCACTCCTTCTGGTACCTCCCCCACAAAGAGTCAAAATTTTAAATATCTATGAAGCTCATAAAACGC